TCGAAGGGACCCCTCCTTGTGGGCCTCCTGTAGCTTTCTTGGCCAAGGGTTTTCGAACAACTGGAAGCGAAAAGGAAAGTTAACAGGCTGACAGTCGAAGAGAAAGATAAAAAGTAATGTGAGAGTATGAACTTACATTTCTTTACTTTGTCCAACACAAGGACAAAAGACTTCTGCAACTCTGCTATGAAGTCCTTCTCGTCGAAGAAGTACTCAGCGTAATAGCTTCTCCACCATTCTTCAAAAGATGGCGAACAAAGGAAGTTAAGCTGGTAGTTGAACAGCGAGAGGATGGTTCGACCAGCATATCTTCCGATATGCCTGGTGGCAGCTTCTTCTGTATAATCGTTGCAGAAGTACAACATTGACTTCTCTCTTGGGAAAATGGGAGAAGGCAGGGTTTGGATGATACCAAACTGGCGAGATACCAGATTTGGTTGATAGGCAAGCAGACTCAGATGAGTCTTAGAACTCTTAAATCGAAGAGGCATAATCCTTGGGGTAAGGAATGCCTCCCAAAGTATAGAGTGCTCATCGACATTGGGACCACTCGACTCCTTGGGATGCGGCCTTGTAAACCATGCTGGCCCCACCTTTCGTTGTGCAAAGGGAGCCATAGTTGAAACGAATTCCTTCCTTCGAGCGAACATCAGCACGAAGTTAGTGAAGGTTTGTTGGAACTCTAGCCCATCTTCCACAGGTGTCAGTAGAGCCAGCCTAATTCCTTCGATACGTCTATTAGCTATCGCTGGGGCTTGTTCATTTATCTGAGTCTTCTTGGGTATGAAAGACTCGAAAGTGGCATTAAGCCACAGTTGAAGTAGCCAGAAAGGCCCAGCGAGTAACAGACTGTTCCTATCTTCGATATGCTTCAAAAGAGTAACCCCATTGCTGATGGAGTCATAAAGACTGGCCAGAATTAGTTCTGCCAAACAGATGTTCTGGCGGTGATGCAGTTGGGTGGCCAGAGTGACCATCTTTTTGGTCACTTGCAGAGACTTCGAACAGAACACGAAGCGAGTCAGCCATAAGGCTAGAAACGCTATGTGCTCAACGTCTGACACTGCGTCTGTCGACTGGTCATGAAAATGGTTGATAAAGGTGGTAAATGTTGGCTTCGTTTCAGAAAAGCCAATTTGGTCCTCCGACATCTCTTCCGGGTCGAAGTAATCTCCGGTTGGTCGAAGGCCAGTGATGGCTGCTACGTCGAAGAGTGTGGGGGTTAACATCCCACATGGAAGGTGAAAGGTGAAGTGAGAGTTATCCCAGAAAAGCATCGAAGCTATAAGCATCTCTGGGGAGTAGTTTAAACCTGTCTTCGACAGCATTATTAGGTCAAAGATTCCCATTTCCTTCCAGACTGGAGTTTGATGTTTTTCCAGCTTTGTTAGCCAAGCAACGTAGTCCTGGGTCAGATTAGGGCAAGACCTAAACACTCTAACACTTTTGTTGAAGAAACGAAGGTCGATCTTCTCGTGTGTGGGGTCTTCGTTGTCTTCTGGATCCTTTTTAGCACAGGCTACTGGCTTAAGTTTCTCAACAATGGGGAAATAGCTCTTGATCTTCAGAGCTTCAGAGATGCTGGGGTTCATGGGTCCAGCCATTGCGAAGATTTGGTTGGAGTATCCAACCGGAATCATCAAGTGACGCGAGTAAGCATCACGAACGGAGATGTCAGATGGTTCAGGGACCCTTCGTTTCCCTGTAGCGTTCACTACCGGAGCAGTTACAAAGACCTTGGGTTTAGCAAGTTGTTCAGTTGGTGCGTTAGTCTTGGGGGCAGTTGAAGCAGAAGCCATTGTTGAGGATGAAGATGAAGTTGGAAAAGGAAAAGTTTTTCTGCAAAGAGAACAAGTTTGCAAGAAAGCAAGGGAGTTTGAGAGATGGTTTGCGTGAAAAGTCCCACAATGGGATATTCACTACTATTTATAGTAGTGGGAGAAATTCCCAATAACGAGGGCATTAAATGTCATTTAATGCTGCAGGAAGTAGTGGGACGCGTGGCAGCATCCTGTTGTTTTGGCCGTTTCTGCAGAAACAGAGAGACGCAGCGTGCGTCCTCGTTTTTTGAATTTGTCATAATGACAAATTATGAAGTGATGTTTTGGTTCTGCACGCCGTACTGACAGTGACGTCCTAGGATCAAATCAATGATGGTTTCTTGGGATTGCCAATAGTTGGTAAAAAGCAACAAAAAGTGCACAAGTTAACTTGTGACTAAGCGTGGAAAAACAGGTGTCGAATGGTGTTTTCAAAGAATGCCTTTTTCTTTCAGAGTCGAAATAAGGCATTCTTGGGGGGCAATTTGTTGGCTCCTAAATTCGACACCTTTGTTTTGATTGATGGCAGCCATTAAAAGCTGAAAGATGCTTTCGACTGGCTAAGTCTGTCGAAATGTCCGTCGAAAGATGGCAAAAATACTTAGAAGATTTCTTCCAAGGAAGAAGGCTGAATTGCCTTCGACGTCGAAGGAGTTTTCGTCGAAGACGTCTCTTGACGAACGTGTTTGATGGTCCAGAGTGGAGCAGTTTGAAATTCAAAGCTTTGGAGGGAAAACGGTTTCCAGCGGTTTCTACGTGCTAACGTGCAAGGATCTGGAGCGTCGAACAGGGAGAACGTGACAAGTGGCTTGATCTCGAAGCAGTGTAACTGCCCGACGGTTACTTGGAATGTTTTTGTATAAATAGGAGTAGACGTGTAGTTTCTCGCGTGTGTTCACAATAGATACATAGTCACTCATTTAGATTCAAGTACCCAGTGTGAGCGAACGAATTGTTGAGAAATGTATGTGTGAAACACCAATTTAATCAATTCAAGTCATTTACTTTTCCAGTATTTTACATGCTTTTTCCCTTTAAGATTCCTGTCGAACCTTTACATTCAAGCCTTGTTTTTACCAAGCCTTTTCCTTTATGCAATTTACTTTAAACAATTTACTTAAAGCCTTATCCACATTAATTAAACTTCAAAATCAACCTATGTCCATAGGATCAATCTGATCGATCCTGCGAGTAACCAAATAAGTAACCATTTGGAGGATCAGCGGTTGTTTACCAAATCCCAAGGTAAACACATATATAAGTGGGTGAACCCACTCACCTATCCTCTTAAAGTTTTAGATGGATAAGTGATGTGTACCGTATATCATACTAAATATATATTTGATATTGATATTTTACCTAAAATGGAATACTCGTGTTTCACATATGAATATAGTATCCAAACTTTTAACATTTTTTTCATTAATTAATTACGAAATGATAATATTTAATTATTATGAATTTTCATCATTTGGTATTAGTTGTTGAAACTTACACAAGGTAAATAAAACTTGTATATTGATTAAACTTTTTTTATATGAGTCATTACATGAATCATATTTATACAAGAGGTAAAAACTAACTAACTCTAACAAACTATTTTCAGTTTTGTAACAACCAACTAACTATACACTAATAAAGCTAAAAGCTAAAAATGACTAGTCAAGCTATGTACAATTTCAACACCCTCCCTCAAGCTTAGCTATACAAGTTCTTGATACTAAGCTTGGATAACAACATTTGAAACTGAGGTGCATTATTAATGAATTTTGTTTTTGAATGATTTGTAATAAGTTTATTAGTTATGTTAATTATAGGAGGTAAATTCTTTGGTATTATGAGTTTTGGTTGGTATTGATGTTTTTAATTTTTAATTTTTTTGGTAATATTATTATAATATAACATGAAATTGAATATCATTATTTTGTTCAATGAATATATTTTGCCATAAAAACTATAAAAGCAACTTAAATAAAATATAATATCATTATTAACATTTAATTTATCATAAAACTATTTTGTCATAAATAATATAAAGTATTTATTTTTATTAATGAAATAAAACGTATATGAGTTGTATAACTATAACATGTAAAGTATCATATTGTTATTCATGTAGTAACAGAAAAATGATCATATCCAGAAAATAAGAATCTCAAGCTATAGCTACAGAATATTAGGTAGAGAAAAATAAAACGTTGATTCTGAGAGTTGCAGGTAGTCCAAGGTTTTGGTGTTGAGAAATTATATTCATGTTATCATTCCCCTGCATGTGCATCAATTGACATAAAACCTCTTTCTATTTTCAATTTAAGTTGATGTTATAGAAGAATTCGTTTTACATTTTCAATTAACCATGTTATAAAAGTCATAGTTACAACAATGAAATTCTTCATTTCAATTAAACACTCATTAAACACTCTACTGATGGTTCTCTCCTCCTTACTCAAGGCAAATATATTAGGGATCTTTTGCACAAGACCAACATGAGTGATTATAATCCTGTTGTGGGTGCTTTGCAGTATGTCACAATTACTAGGCCTGACATTGCCTACTCAGTGAACAAAGTCTGTCAGTTTATGTTTCACCCTCTTGAGACCCACTGGGTTGCTGTAAAAAGGATCCTCAGATACCTCAAAGGCTCCACTGCTCAGGGCCTGCATCTTGCTCCTCACAGGCTGTCTACTTCTCCATCTCTGCAGGTGTTCTGTGATGCAGATTGGGCATCTAACCCAGATGAAAGAAGGAGCACATCTGGTGCTGGTGCTGATATTTTCTTTGGTTCCAATCTTATCTCTTAGTGTATCTAGAGTTACTCACAACTCTCAGTTTTATCATCTGCTATAGCAGGTCAAGCTGGTTGTTATAAATACAACCGGTTAGAAACTGTTGTAACTAACTTTCCAATCAATACAATCAGTAACAACTGAATATGGAAAGACAAAATACACTTTCTATTAATAACATTATATTAAATGAAGTATCGAGGCAAAGTTACATTTTGTTCATGTTCTGCTACATTATAGCACTTCTATAAACTACTATTTGACAACACTAAGTTTAATTAACACTAAAACAGAAGCTCGTCATAATTACATATTTATTCTTTTTCCTCCTTCTTTGTAGGTATCCAACCACATGTTACATTGCATCATTGGGATCTACCACAAGCACTTGAAGATGAATATGGAGGATGGGTTAGCCGGAGAATTATGTATGTATCCCGAACTAAAATTGTTAATAACATGACCATCTTGTGTTAGATAGTTGTTTAGAGTTAAAGTAATATATATCCAACACAATAAGAAAAACAATCTTTCTCTAATTAATATTTGAATATTTACTCTTTTGTTTTCACTGACAACGGACTTCACAGCATATGCAGATGTATGCTTTAGAGAGTTTGGAGATAGAGTCAAACATTGGACTACAGTGAATGAAGGAAATGCGTGTTCTATTGGGGGTATGCTGTCGGATTTTTACCTCCTCAAAGGTGTTCATCTTCCTTTATATCTAACTGCTCCAAAGGCAATTCTTCAACTGAGCCATATTTGGTAACTCATCATATGTTGTTATCACATGCATCAACTGCAAAACTGTATAGGTCAAAGTACAAGGTAAGCCAATGTTTGCCACATGGACCACATTACTTTGTAATTTGTCTAAAGCTTTTTACATTTGGTAACATAGTTATGGTGTTGTCAATTGCAGAAAATGGTAACTTGTTTTAATTCTACTATGCTACAATGTTCCAATGCTATACTACTACTATAACTTCTATTTGGTAACACTTTGTACTAAAGATTATATTAGATAACTTTAGCAATTCTATATTCCAATATGCTATAATGTTATTATGCGCTATAGGCTATAGCCTCCACTATTTGACAACATGGGGTTATTATGATATCATTTTTGCTATGATAAGCAACATATCTTTTCTTTTTAAATGCTACCTATGGTAACTTGCAGGCCAAGCAAAGGGGATTTATTGGTTTTAATCTTCTTGTTTTTGGTTTTGTTCCACTAACAAACACTAGTCAAGACATGATTGCCGCTCAAAGAGCCCGAGACTTCAATATTGGGTGGTAAGTAACATTTTCATTGTGATATCTATCTCTAAAATATGTGTCATTGTAATCTTATTTGACCATTTTAGAGTATGCAAGTTGGTCTTCACAATTGTAAACATCAGTTAAAATAGTTTTTCTTTTCTTTGTCGTGATAGATTTCTGAATCCCTTCATTTTTGGAGAGTATCCTGACTCCATGAAAAAGAATGCTGGCTCAAGGCTTCCTTACTTCACCACCAGGGAATCAAATTTGGTTAAGGGCTCAATTGACTTCCTTGGAATCAATTTTTACTATGCATTTTCTGTTAAGAACAACCCGAAAAGCCTACAGAAAAGGAATAAAAACTTCGCATCAGATATGGCCGTGGAGCTTAAACGTATGATTATTTTGGTGTCATTTACTGCGTCAATTTTGATTGCATAACCAGTTATATATTGAGGTTATACAAGTAAAATTCACATACGCGTCTCTTTATTCAATGCCTTGTTCGGAACTTTCATCTATTGATGTTTCTTTGTAATCTTATTTGTAGCCTTACTTGGAAATGATACAACTACAGAAAAGGTAAAAGTAGAGTATGAACATTGGAGTTCCTTTATTTTCATCATTAGATGATTAGTCAAAGGGTGAAGTATATGCATGAATACATAGGGAGCCTACTCTATATGTTGAGGCGTCTCTATTTTCATTTTCAACTACACATTACCAATATTTCTAATATTCACCCAAATACAAGTGAAAACATATGTTTACCGTTAATTTTTTGTCACACTGACAGGAATGGATTGAATATAAAAGGTTATTTTGTATGGTCCTTTTTGGATGTGTTTGAGTTACTAGGTGGATATGAATCAAGTTATGGCATATATTACATAGATTTGAAAGATCCAACTTTGAGGAGGCAACCTAAACTTTCATCTGTGTGGTACTCAAATTTTCTAAACAACAGAACTATGGACTCAAAGATCACCATGAAAATTGAGGAGAATTCTTCTATCTCTAACACTACCTTGATGCATACTGCCACTTAATGTAATTAGGACTAGTTAATATAAATCTATCCCCAACTCTTTTAATAATAGATAGACAAGTGAATGTCAAATATTATTATATATTAAGCAGTGTCGGTGTCATATATTTTTGAAATTATCGTGTCAGAATGTATGTGTCGTGTTGTGTACCATTGTCCGTGTTAGAATCTGTGCTTCATAGATGAATACCAAAAAGTTAATACATAAACCAATTCTCATTATGAACTTTGTGCTGATCTTAATTTATGTGCTACAATCTTTAATTCACTATACATTTTAGAACATTCAAGAGAAAAATCTGTCATAGCCCTAAAGAGCTCTGCCAAGTTATTTTTGAGACACACCAAAGATTTTTGCCTCACATGTAAGCACTGTCTTTCAAAAGAAACTTTTTCCTCATCCAACCTCTTTTCTAATTCAATCAAAACTCTCTTTTCCTTTACAACCTCATCAGGTTCATTACTATCAACACCTTGTTCCCTATTTGTATCAAACTCGTCTAGTCTTTTCTTTTTCTTGTATTTGCACTCCCACTGATCAAATCGTCGGCTTTTGCGCGCAAGCTCCTTTTGCATCTCCTCGCATTTTCTCTTTAAAACCAACTCTTCTTCTTGCTGTTGGTAAAGAGAATCTATCACAGCAACAAAATGTGATATGCCTTTCCAAGCAAGTTCGATAGAAAGTTTCTCTAGATGATCATTCCAAGCATGAAGAAGGATTTGTATCGCCGGTGAAGAAATCTTTTCCTTTATATCATTTTCAATAAGGGTAAGATTCAGTTTTAACCAACTGTATAAGGCTTTTATGAAACCCTTTTGATTGTTTATCAACTTTTCAAACTGTGATTCCAACTCTTGCATAACATTCAATAACTGATATGTTCTATCATGATGGTGTTCACTTGTTTCAGTAGGAAATTGAGAATCCAGAGATTTCACTAATTTCATAATGATTAACTGCTTCTTATGGTGGTAATGCATGGTTCCCCACGTTGTGGCCATCCTGTATTGCATAAAAAATATTTTTAGTCTTTGAAAATCGATTGTAAATAGGGATTGAAAATAGTAACTCACCCATCGACAAGCTGATCAAGTTTCTGGTACAACTGTTGATCGCGTAAAAGATTTATCTCTGAGATTGTTGAGTCCAATAACTGCATATCAACAATGTAAATGGAATCCAAATGACTGAGAGCTGCTTTTTCTTTCTCCAACGTTTCGATGTGTTTACCTCTTTTTTCTAGCTTGTTGATATTGGCAACTTTTCTTTGGTACTCAGATTTTGTTAACTCAGCAGCCTATGAAACAATATTCAGCTGCAAAATTCATAACATAGCACAAAATTTGTGGATTTTTCTACCTAATTGCAGCTGCAAAATTGAATAAGAAATTAAAGAAAGTGTAGGTAAAGTTTGTTCTGAACTCTCACCTTAACTTGATTATAAAGTTTCTTTTCCCATGCTAGCAACTTGTCTAATACAGTAGCAAGAGTTTCATGCTTCTCTGAGTCGAAATCATCTTTCACTTCATCCATATTTGGTGTTTCTCTGAAGGATCTGTCCCATGTTACAACTCGCATAACCCTTGCAGAGTAATCAAGGTTTCCTGAAAATGAAAAATACAAAATTATAATCCAAAAACTACAAATGAAGTTTCTTTTTCTTTTGAGAACCAATAGTAATTGTTCTGGGCAGGTCATATGCCCAAAAGGGTGATGTCCATTCATCTGTCCAAGTCGCTCCACTAAAACACTGAAGGTACATGATAGTTCTACTTTAGAGCTTTCCACTGGATCCCTGTCAGGGACCACTGACTACCGTTAGATGTCATCAGACGGTCTCCTGCGTTTCATGCTGAAATGGTGGGGAACATCCATAACCGTCATTCATATATAAAGCATCTCATGTGAGACTTAATAAAGTATTCTCTCTTTGATCAATAACTCACTTCATTCGTCATTCTTTTACTCACTTGGGTGTTGGGTGCTAACCTGGCATGCAGGGACGGTTTTATAGCCCAGCGAGCCCGGGCTCCTACTTTCTTTGTATTCCTCTCAACTTAATAGCCGATTTTTAGACAAAATCAATGGCAAAATCAGTAAAAACAGAGGCAATATTAATAAAAACGGGCAAAACTAACACACTTTATGACTATTTATATATTACGTCACATGTAACTTACGTTTAAAATTTTTGTCCATACTACCTAAAATTCGCACCATCGTATCAGAGTTCCATTCTACCACATCAAGACTCTACTCTAAAGTTTCATTAAGTATTTTTGGTTCACTAACGGAAGAGTAATTAACTTATGAAGTAATCCCCACCACAAATCCATGATTACTCTATAAACATAAAATTTCAACGTACAAAATATATGAAATCAATTCTGTCTGGAAAAAGGATAAAAAGAAATTAAACATAATAAGTTGCGAGTTTTGTGCATCGAGTCGGTCGTTGACACGTGTATCCGACACCGAACACGCTTGTGCTGGTGCTAAAGAGCTCGGGAAAAAACAAAGAAACAAGTTTGCATTTTGATAGTTACCTCCTGTAGCATTAGAAAAATTGGAATGATAGTGAAGACGAGTGGCCTGAAGAATAACAGAAACCTCACGAGCAGACTCAGAAGCCATTATAAAATGATTATCAACTTCACTCAACACCTCAATAGTATTCATGCTCACACTTTGTTTCACTCTTCTACTCAAACTACTTCTTTCAACTATTTCTTCATCTACATCATCATCATCATCAACCTCCTCCAAACCAGTATTTTCCTCAGCAACAGATTCAAAATCCGGCATGGTGATAGCTCGGCGAAGAGCAGCAGGTAAATCAGGGAGAGGAGGAGGAGGCAATGGAACATCATAAGGAGGAGAGAATTGAAGGCTTTGCTGTTGGCCTTGTGCGAAATCTATGAGAGCAGCGCCAGCGTTTTTGAGGGAGGCCCCGTAGGAAGAGTGAGCCGCTGCGAAGTTGTTACGGGATGAAACCGCCTGTTTCATGAAGTAGTGACGGTCTTTACAGCGTGTTATGGCTTCTTCGTTCTCCATTTTTGATTGGTAACAACCCATGTTTCGATACCGCTTTGTCGTTTCGAACTGATTTTTAAAACCTTGTTAGTGCTATAGTTCTTCTGTAAGCACGCAGATATTTGATTCGTTTGGGAAGATGGGTGACAGTGTGGAAGGGTTGAAAGCTTCGGTGTCAAGGCGACGAAACGATGCCGTTTTAGTGGGGAATGTGAATGTTATTGCTTAGAAAGTGATATAGAGAATATGAACTTTGTATAAAGCATAGTTTACAACTACGTCGATGTTAAGGCAACAAAACGATGGCGTTTTGGTATAGTGGATTACACGAGTTGGATTATTATTTATTTTAATTGACCTGTGTATCCAATGTAACAATTGTTTTTATTAGATTAATAATTATTGAATTAATTATTAATTCTTAACATAACGCCTGCATATTGATGGTTTTTAATTTCTTAATATTAATTTCTCTCTCCAAAGTATATATTTAAGCTTATTTGATTATATGTGATAAAGGATGTTGCATATGTGGCGCCAGAAAAATTATAAAATTTAGACAAATTTAAAGACAAGCCAATCTGCCTAAATTGTTAAGGTCAATGTCACTAAGGGTCTACTTTACTTCATTTCCCTTATGAGAAACAACATTCTAAAAATAGAAAAATGATTGGAAAATATATTTAGACAAGTATAACATTTCACACACTCAAAAAAAAAAATTCAATGTCTTTAGTGTTTGGAAAGTCAAAAGTGTTAAATGTAAATGATATAAAAATATGATGATTGTCGTAATTTTTTTCGTATTTCATCACTTTATTTAAAGTGGCTTTCAAGGCTGCATATCTCACAGTAAATATTTAGTCATCATTCATACAAATAGAGAAACTCAAGTCAAGTATACAAATACATGTTTCTCTCATATCACTATAAATTAGAAGATTTATTGACCTAAGTGTCGATCTTTCTTTAAGTGGATCAGTCAAGAAATTTACAACACACCTTTCTTCATGATACTTGGATCTGTCGAAATATATCAAACATGACATACCTAAAAAAGTCATGTGTGTATTTGAAGGCTAAAAGCTTCCTATAATGAATTGTCTATTTTCCAAATGTATCTAAGCATGCCTTACAACAAATAGGGAAAAAATCATCGATAAAAATATAAAGGAATTATAAATTGATATCTAAACATAGTATGATACTCTACCTGTGACATACACTAACTTAGACTATCAATAAAAATGGATGAAGAAAAGATCTTAGGAACCCTTCATCTACCTTGTCCTCAAGGATGTCCCAAATTTAGGTTTAAGGGTAAGATAGGGTTTCAGAGATAATTTGTAAAAAGGTTTTAATGTTTTAATTAGGGAAAAAGGGTTTTAGTCTTTTAATTAGGAGAAAACAATTTTAGTCTTTTAATTAGGGGACTCGCCTTGGTTTTTAAGTCGCATGCCTACGTATCTTCTTATGAAGAATCAGAGTCTCATTTTGTAATTCGTAGTGTTTGGTTGTATTTTTTATGGATTGTAGAAATATTTTGAATTAATCTTTGAACCAAGTCTGAGTTTGAAAATAGCAGAATCGTAGATGCAGTTCGCAATTAATAAAAGAGGTCTCCACAATCATTTTTGAAAATATATTGATTTTTTAAGTTAGTAGAAAAATATTAGTGTTTGATTGATTAGCTATTTTAAATGTGTATGCAACATGAGAAAATAAATTTGAATGAACAAAAAGTTTAGTGCAATTAAAAATAGGATTAGTGTTTTAAAAATAGTTTGATTAATAAATAACTATTTTATAATTTATTAAAAAATATGTTAAATATTTTTAATAAAAAAATCTAATACTTATTTAATAATTATACAAAAATTATTTAATACAAAAAAGATATGATATTTAAATAAAAATAAGAAAATAAGATCAACTAAAACAAGAAAATACAATTAAACAAGTTAATT